CCATTGGTTTGAAAACCAACAGACAAAAGAACTTTTAGAAGAATTTCCTCATATGTTTGCTACCCTCGGAAAACCGAGGGTAGAGATTCCGTACGAAAATCGCAAGAATTTGGCTCCTGGTTTGAGAGGTTGGTATGTACATAGACTTCTTGTAAATGCTGTTGCAATGTGGGCGTCACCTCGCTATGCTTGTTATATTTTCATGATGTTAGATGAAATTCATAGACAAGAACGTGAAGAGATGGAAAAGAAACTTCAAGCAAAAGATGAAGTCATTGAAGCAAAAGACAAAAGCATTCAGAAAAGAATACCACGTTCGGTACCAAAAGGAAAGGAAAAGAACTATAAGTATATGATTTATACTGAAGAGATGGAAAATGAAGAAGACAGAGATATGGTTATGTTGCATTTAGTCAGAAGAAACAACAAAAGCTTTTACGACCTTGCTAAGATTTACAAATCTGACAGAAATTGGTTCTATCGCGAAAACTTACCGATTTCAATGACTCCAAATGAAGATGTGAAACAAATAGTTCAAGATACGTTACCTCAAACACACTATGATATTAAAGGTTGTACAATACTTACATTCAAAGAAGATTTACCATTGTTAAAGGAAAAAATAACAGAGTATTTTTGACAACTTCAAAGAGGAAGAGTAAATGAACCATTTATTTTTCAGGCAATTGCCTCGTCAAATCCTTCTGGCATTCCGAGTCCTTCCTTCCGACAGAAAAAGTTTTTCCTTCCGACAGAAAAAGTTCTTCCTTCCAACAAGAAAAAAATTTCCCGACAACTGGAAAAAAATTTCCTGTTGTTCGTCCGTAAACCATTCAAATTTTCGAAATTGAGAACTTTTTGGTCGAACTTCAGAAAAAGTTTTTCCTTCCGACAGAAAAAGTTTTTCCTTCCGACAGAAAAAGTTTTTCCTTCCGACAGAAAAAGTTTTTCCTTCCAACAGGAAAAGTCCTTCCTTCCGACAGGACACAAACGAATGTCCGACGTTCCTCTTCCTGAATGTCTTCCAAAGCCAGAAGAACCGACAGCCCCAGCACCACAACAGACTAAGACTAAAACACTTACATTTTTACGCTTGACTTTTTACAATTTGAACTTTGTTTGCGTAGATATGAATTCTGAAAGAAGTATGAGGGTCTTGTATGACTTTGTACTTCTCCCATAGTTCATGTCTGTCAAACTTACCTGCCATGGACTCTTTCATAAGTTCCATGAAATCGTCTTCGGACAATCCAGGGAAAAGTATGATATCAGTAAGTATTCTTTTAACATCCTTACTTAAACTCTTTGCTGTCTGTACACAAATGACAACTGAGATGTTAAAGTGTCTGAGCTTCTTAAGAATTCGACACATATCTTGTTCTCTGTTCTTTAACAAAGGATGAGAAGCAAAGTCATCTAAAATAAGAAGACATCTATGAGGGTAAGTCTTCCAATCGTAAGATTGCAATTTCTTCGAAATGTATTCTATCTCTTTCTGTTTGTTTCTGAAGTGTTTCTTCTCTAATATTCTCTGCATTTCCTCATTTGGGTCTTTAAACTTCGAATTGACATACTCATTTATAGCATTGTACTTCAAAACTCTTCTTTGGTACTTCTTTATCCAATCTAACAACTCAGAGTCTTTTATACATACTAACTTAGACTTTTTTATAATATCTTTGAACGAATTGACGGTTTGGTCAAATTGACCAGAAGTACTACAAATGACTACTAACTCATAGAATGGGTTCTTCTCATCTAGTTCTTGTTGTTGTGCAGCCATTTTAAGATAAGTGAAAGTCTTACCCGACCCAGGCGGTGCAATTAGACCTGTTATACCATTCTGAGCAAATAGGAACTTGTCATGTATGGGTTTTATCTGAGCATTTTCCAACTTCCTCTTGTTCTTGTTTAAAACATTCTCAAATTTCTTGTCAATGTCAGCAAACTTTTTTTCTAACATATTTTTAGAAAAATTAAAAATTTTATCTTTTAGAAAATGTCTAGCGATTTCGCTATCTATATTCGAGAAAGCTTTTCGACAGCAAAACATCTGTCGACCATAAAATCTTACATAGTGTAAACAAGAAAGGTGAATTTGTTCTAAAGTTCTGTTTCTGGGAATATGACAAGAACCATAAAACATTAAGCAGAGCAGTCTTAAAATTTGTCAATGACAGACTTGTTGACAGAGATGACGCCGATTGGAAAGATGAAGTCCAACAAAAGTTCTTAGAATGCAAAGAAGGCACATGCGCTGTTCTTGAAGATGAAATAGAAAACAGAATAGAAGAGCTATTAAAGGACAAAGAACTTTTACATAAATATGGTTCTGAGAAATTTGACATAACTCCACCAGAGAAGAAGAAGAAGAAGAGAGAAAAGAAAGAAAAGAAAGTAGAAGAAGAGAAAAAAGAACCTGAACCAGTTCCAGAGAAAAAGAAATTTGACATGTAAAAATAAAATTTTATTTTTAGAACATTTCTGGGTCAATGTCAATGTTCTCTTCCTCTTTAGGAGCAAACACTGGCTTAGACTCTAAAATCTTTTTACCCAATTTACCTTGAACTTCAACTATCTTAGACTCATAATATTCATAGTCGTCTGCTTTCTTTGGTTCATAAGGTATAACAAGTTTGTATGCTTTGCCTTCTTCGAGTTTTGAGAACTTTCTGTCAAAATTTTCTTTGACTGCTAACAAACCTTCTATGTCTAAGTCTTCAAAAGTTGCACCACTTTTTCTAACAACAGCAAACTTAACTGGTGCAATGTTCCAAATTTTGTCAAATGTAGACTTTTCAAAATTGTAGAAGTAAACATTCAAATATGCGAATGGAGCTAACTTATCTTTGACTTCTGTCATGTACTTATTTACTGAGATGAATTTTGCCATCTTTTCTATCGGATAAAAATATATATTTTTTTTAAAATTTACTCAGAAAAATTTTTCTTTGTATATACGCCGTTCTGAACATCTAAAAGATTTTTGACATTTGCCAAGAATGTTCGTTTAGACGCTGCCATATAACCATATTCTTGACAATATTGTTTATATGAATCGTACAATGACCTTTCATCTAATGACACAAAGTCAGTTTCATCTATGAACAGTTCATATACACTCTTGTTTGCTTCTAACAATGTTTGTCTCTCTTCTGTATGTGGAATTTGTCTTGGATTGAACTTAGAAATATCTAATGTCATGAAATATGAGAACAAGTGGTTGTAAAAGTCAGATGTCAAAGTTTCTGCTAAGTCGTCAAAATATTCTGTATCTTGCATATGAGAATCTGACGTTCTGACAACTACATATCTTCTGTCAGAACTTTCTAACTTCATCGGAACAACATTGTTTGAAACCATAATGAAGTTTGCAACATTTTCACAAACTCTTTGGTCTTTATACTTTCTTTCAACAACTCCAACTTTGTCTGTTATAAGACTCTTCAAAGCATCTGAGTTTAAAACCTTTGTTGTATCTATACTTTGAAGTTCGTTACATACTATAAGTTTCATATTCTCTATTGAAGAGTTAAATTTACCGCAGATGTTTTCTAAGTTTGTCATATTCGGGTTCGAATAGCCCTCTAACAGTTTGCATAAGATATCTGTAAAGAAAGTGTTCTTACCTGTTCCTTGTTTTCCAATTATGATGAGAGCAGTTTCATTTTTAGCACTTGGATGTTGTAAGATGTTTGCAAACCAACATAAGATATACTCATAGACTCTTTCGTTTCCATTGCATATAATTTCTTTGACATGGTCTAACCAAGCTTCTATAACATTTTCTTTCCATTCTACTTGTTCATATTTATATCCAGTGAAGATAGAATAGAAGTTTGGAGATGGTGTATAGAACTTTATACCACGAACTGAAAAATCTTCTAACTTTGACAATAAGATATCCCAAGCATCTAACATCTTCATACCAACTTGTACGACTTTTATTTTCTTAAGTTTCTGTCTACATTCTTGTTCTGAAACTATTGTCGCTTTAGGTTTGTTAAAGACTACATCCCATTCTTTCATAACATAACATTCTGGGGCAGAGTCGACATAAATGACTAAACGTTTCAAATTCTCGACTGCTTTGTTATAGTCTCGAAATGGACACATATTTCTGAATGCTTGGAAGTCATAAAAATCTGAAACATCTATTCTGTACATTTTTATAAAAATAAAAAAAATATTATTTTTTTATTCTTGACTTTGTTGTTCCATTTGTTGCATTTGTTGTTCTTGAGCTATTTGTTGTTGAAGTTGTTCTTGTAATACAATACTTTCACCAGTTGCATCTTCCAATTCGAAACTTTCTGCCGTCATTGACAAATACATAGGACATAAAAGTTTTACAGGAACAAAGTTTGCGTCAACTAATGTCAACGTTATACTTGCCAAAGTGTTTGAGTTCACTAAGGTTGAAAATTCTGCATTCGAATGAACAATAGGCAAACCAGCAGAGAAAGTATTGTTTATACGCATAAGTATCTTTTGGTCATAATAGTTTCTGTCGACATTCGAATAACACTTTGAACCTAAGTTTGAAACAATATATAAGATTGGTGTGCTTAATGTCAATGGAATAGACATTCCTTGTATTACACCTTTTCCTGTTATAGGAAACTGTTGGTAGTAAAAACCAGAAATAAGTTTTGTATTATAGCTCATATCGTTTATAGTAAACTCAGTCGGACATCCAAAACATAATGAAACCTGCTCTAGTTGCAGCACATGTTACACCCGTACTTAAAGTATTAAATAAGTCAACAAAACCTGTTGGTGGTATATCTGAGTAAGTATCTTCAAAGGAGTATTTTTTACCATTCACAACAATAAAGTCTTCTGGTGTCAAAAGAGCAAAACAGGCTTTAGTCGTCATTGTGTTTAAGGTTAGTTTACAATATCGTCCTTGAGGACTTTGTAAGTTTGTTGTTATAGAATTATATGACTCAGGGTTTTTAGTCGTAATAGTATAAACCATTATGTCTTCTGCCATTTACTTAGCAAATAAACTTTAATGAAATGTTTGTGGTCGTCAAATATTTTTATAACGTCTGGGAAACTATATTTTAAGTTCAACGTTTCACCCCCTTTCATAACGTATATCTTGTCAATGACATTATATGAAACACCACAGCAACTAACGTCGGGTTCTATTTCTTTGATGTTTATATCGTCTGCCTCTGTCAAAAGTTTCAATAGTTCTTTCAAAACTTCATGAGGTGCAATGACATATGAGTTCACTTTTACAGGGTTGTGTTCGACCAAGTTTAACATTATACCCAAAGCTTGACAAATCTTCTCCTGAGTTTTAAGTTTGTCTTTAAGTTGTTGGTAGTCGTTTCGAATATCTGCAACAGAACTTAAGTCTCTGCTAACTTCAGGGTATGTTGGTTGTTCTTTTACAGGAACTATTGTTATACCATCTTCGTCTTCGTATGGTTTCCCCACTTCAACATCTCTGTCTTTGACATTGACAACAACACTTTGACTGTTTGTTTGAGTTGGTGAATTTAACTTCACATCTGCCACCGCCATTAAACCTTTTGAAACACTCACGCTTCTATTTTTCGGAAATGACATTTTACTTAGAATAAAAAGATGGACGTATTCGAGTATCTCTTCGAATTGAAGCAGAACAAAGTTTACACACACAAACAATACAAATACATTGACAGAATAGTTCTTTATACAAACAATGGTAAATGTTATAGAATAGCAATATTTGCTGAACCAAAATATTTTCATAAAGCAAAGAAAGTTGGTATAACTGAAATGGTGAAAGTTCTTGAAGCAGACAAAAATATAACAACAAAACTTACAGATATTTCTAAAGGAAAGTTTATAATACAATTTTATGTCAAAACTGGCGTACTGTCAATATTTGACGGAGAGAAGTCAGTTCAAGAACAACTTACTGACCTGCTGCCAAAATCTGCTCGATGGAAGCTGTCGTTATGCCAATCTGAGGAGCCCCAGCAGGTTTCATCGAACGAATCTTCAAAAGAGCATCTTCCGTGAAAAGTGCTATTGGTTTTGTAAACTTCTTTGCTCTCAGTTCATATGGACCGTCTCTGTCACCAGTATATTGTATTTGTACAGTACCAACAGTTGAAATACCACCCATAAAGTCTTCTGAGTCAGCAAATGGAATGCCAAGCCAAAGTTTGAACGGTCTCCATTTGTATATTGAGTTTTTTGACCTCCTGTATGAGTCCATACTTTCACATATGGCATAATAGAACTTTGCATTTCAGGGTTAATGGTTGTTGTGAAGTTGTTGTTAAAGTTCATAGCATCTAATGTCAAGTTGTATGACCTCATATCCTCAACTGTAGAATATTCTTCTCTTGATAATATTTGCCATCTATGTTTATATGATATTTAATACCAGGGTTGTAGAAACAAGAATAGTCATTTATAGTTCGTCTGAACAGTACAAACATAGTATCTGCGTGTTTCATTGCAGTTGTTAAAGCAATATCTGTTCTTGCACCTGCGGTTCCTGGATTTTGGTTTCCAACTTCACCTGCAAAGTCTTTGACAGATATTTGGTGTATAGGGAACATAAGTGGAACTGCAATATATTTGGCAGCTAAAGCATTTGAAATATCTGGGTCCAACATATAGACTGCAAGTCTGCTTTCTATTCTCTTGCATTCAAACTGTTCGCATGTAAACCTAACTGGGTCCCAAGCAGTTCCAGCAGCATTGAAATAATACCTTACTTCAGTGTTGAGGTTTGAGAAACCAAAGTCTAAGTCAACTTTGTCTTTGCAAAATTCGGCGAATGACGTTTGATTTGCTCCCTTTACGTCTGTAAGAGTGAATGGGTCTTGCGTTGGTGCAATGACTAAGTTATTTTTGCTTGGAGTAAGTTCAATAGAAATTTTTCCTGCCCAGTTTGGCAAGTATCTTAAAAACCTGAAGATGAGGAAAGATGACAAAGGAACTCTAAGTTTCAGTTTTACTTTAGTGACAGCATTTCCATCTGAACCAGAAAGGTTAACATAAACTCCTGGAACGTTAGGGTCAAGTCTTCTTATTTTCTCAATAGTTGCATACTGGTCTGTTTGTTCTCTAGCTTGTGGTTGTACTGAGTTTCTTAAAGCGAACCATTCATAGTTTGCCCATGTTACTGTTTGAACTAAGTCAGAGTTAGAATATATCTTATATCCCATGAAAACTTCTGGAGCATATTGGTATCCGACATAGAAAATACCATTGCAACCTTTCTTGTCAGACAACTTGGCAGAAGGTTTTATTTCAATGTCTTGTTCCACGTATAAGAAAGAGTTGTCAATAGAAATTATATGAAACCTGTCGCAAGCAATATCTACTGTTGTTGAAGAACCTTCTCCAAACTCACCTACGTTTCCATAAGAAACAGCAGTTGTATATTCGTAAGTTCCAGGAACTATTTCTGACCTTCTAATGGCATTGTCGCATTCGTTATACCATTCGGAAACATTTCCATTCATAGCATCCAAAACTGTTGGCGTTATATTCTGAGCGGCGTACATTTCATATGAGTAAAAATATAGAATAGTTGGATTTATATGTCATAATAGAACCCACGTGGACCAAGCTTTACTTTCTTCCTGACTGAGTTTTTAACTCTTCTTTTTCCTTCATTGCCCTCTGCTTGAAGTTGTTGCATCTTTGCATTATGTTCATCTAGTATGTTGCAAATTTCCCATGTCCTTTTTGCCTTTTGGCTCTGGTCGCCCATCTCAGGTAACCTATATCCTAGAAAGAGTTTGTCATAGTCTGTATTTGAGTCTTTGCGTATTGTTTGCATGACTCTTTCCTGAGTTTCTGGTTCAAGCTCTTCAAACAGAGCTTGTCCATATGGAATAAGCTCGTTTCCAAATATATGTTTTTGTAGCCATTCTGGTTTTCTTTCCATGTTACCAACAATATCCTTTGTGAATGGGAAAGCTTTTACCCAATCTTTCAGTCTTGCGTCGTTTATTTCTGTAGTTGGTTTTATTTTGTCAAGGAACATGTTTTTCAATACTAACATTTCATTTGGTACTGTCCATTTGAGTTTTCTTAAATATTCATCCCTTCTCAGTTCATTGTCTGCAAAGTAAGTTTTTATGACATTTTGTAAACTTTCGTTTGCAAGGTCATGTACAATAGGTTCTCTTCCTTCTATCTCCCTAACTTTCTTTCTAAACTCTTCACCAAATATACCATCTTTATGGTTCTGTGTAGTTCTTTGAGATAAATGTTCTAGAACGTCAGGTGTTATATTTCCATCAGCCATGTTCATTTCATACTGGTCCAAAATATCTGCATGTTTCATATCTTTCAATGGCATTAAAGCCGCGCTGAAAATACCAGCTATATCTGGTTCACCATTGACTTCCATTGCGTCTACAACTTCTTGGAATTGTGGTTGTAAGTTTATGAACCACCTATCTGGATTAGCTTTATGACCCCATCTCATTGTAGTTCCATCGTCTGCAGAAACAAAAGTAGGTTTGTTTCCATCTTGGTTAGGTTCTGAATGAACTTTAAACAATGTTTCATTTCTATATGTTTTCTTGAAATTTAACCTTTTATTTTCACCGAGTTCATCCGAAGATTGAACGTTAAATGCTCGTAAGTAAAAAGGGTTGTTGTATTTGTGTACATTTTCTTTCAGTACTTCCATTCTATGCTGAATATTTTCATCTGGTGCTGGAGTCTTTTGTATGTCGGCAAACATTTTTCGATATTCTTCTACTATGTCAGCCGAATTTTTTTTAGACTCTTGGAAAGATTCCATATTCTCCGCATACTCTTGTTGAGGGTCAAGATTTTTCGGCTGTTCCAAATCTTCATCTAGTTCTGTGAAGTTAGTTTCCAAAGGAAGGACTTGTTCGTTTCCTTCAGGCTCTTCTAGCTGTTGTTGCTGAACTATTTCTTCCATGTCTGGTTGTATCTGAACTTCTTCCTGTGGAGTTTCTTGTACCTCATCTGCTGGCATTTCATATATTCCGAGACCGTTTTCAACAATTTCCCTATCTACGTCATCCGCATTCATAAGCTTTTGTTCTTTCGTTCCGTCTCTATTTTTTACGCGTTTCATGACGAAAGTTGAATTGTCATTTAGCTCTGACATCAAATATCTCGGAGTAAATTCATCCATGTCATTTGGATGATATGCTATTAAATCATATCCCTTAGCGAGCTTGTATTTTCCAGGTTTGAGATTATATCCGTTTTGGTGCTGAGCCATAAAGCTAAATAGGTTCGGGTCAGTATTTCCATCCTTGAACTTTCCAATAGCTTCTTTATATCTGTCACTAAAGTCAACAGTATCTGGGAAACCACACTCTTCTTTAAGCATTTTTAAGAATTCTTGGTTTCCTTGTTCTCTACTTCTTTTATGTCCTTGCTCTGTTTGTGGTTGTTGTTGTGCAGGGTTTTGAACTGTTGGTTGCTGTGCTGGTTGTTGTGTTGGTTGTTGTGCTGGTTGTGGAGGTGGTTGTTGTGCTGGTTGTTGTGCATGCCTGTGTCTGTGTCCATGTGACGATGTAAATGTTTTAGGTAGTCCTGGTGCAGGTGCTTCTCTTGGAGGGTTTGGTGGTATATAAGTTCCACCAGCTGGCACATATGTTCCATCTGCAGCATAGTGTCCTACCTGACTTTTCGTTTTTAAGAAAGCATTTACTAGGTCTGTTTTGGTCTGTTGTAACTCTTTTTCTTGACTTTCCACAACAGTTGCTCTAACGGCGTCATAGGCACTTTGAACTGCCTGTCTCGTTGCTGCATCTGTTATTTTCGTCATATTTTGTGCTACTTCTTTTAACTCTTTGTCGAAACCTTCAGACTTCAGTTTCTTTCCAGATGAGAAGTCGTTCACTTGTTTCACCTTACTATGAAGAGCTTCGAAAGCGTTCTTAAAGTCAGCATTTGTTAAAGCTTCATTTGAACTATCTTCATCCGCTTGTATTTTTGTCCTTATTGACCCTATGAGTTGGGCTGCTTTAGCGTTGGCTTGGGCATCTAACCAGTCATTGTTGGCTTTTATATATTCTGCGCTTTTCATTGCCTTTTGCATAGCCGCGTCGTTATTTTACTTTCTTGTGCTAAGTTTTCATACTGTACGGTTTGGTTTTGCAACTGTAAAAGTTTTTCTGCCTTTACATTTGCTTCAACTTCCTTTTTATACTCATCGCTATCCATATATGTCTTCAGGGCTTTTTGTTTTATCTCTTCATCTTTCAGTATTTTATATTGAGTAGTATGGTTTTTCAAATTTATGACATCTTGTTCCATTTTTGCTACTTCTGCTGCTTTTTCTGACACTTTTTTCGCATATTCCTCTGTACTTAGTTCTTTCAGTTGTTCTTCTTCTTCTTTTTCTCTACGTTTAACTCATTGAGTTTCTTTGTGTGTCTGTCATATTCTAGTTTCTTTTCGTTTTCACTTATTTGCTTCTGTATGTCTATGTTTGACTTTTTGACATCTGCTATTTGATTTTTGAGTGAACTCAAATTCATTTGACTTTGAGGGTTATATGCTGTTCCGTCTGCAGCTCCACCATAGCCTGCCATTTTCGCTAAAAGTGCCGCTCTTAAACCTCCACTCTGTGCACCAAGAACTCGGTTTAAAAGCATAGGATTGCTTGACATTTGTTGCAACATAGTGGGGTCATTCATCATTTGTTGTTGCAACTGTTGTTGTGGTGTCAGTTTTACTATTGGATGTTTCAATGCTCTCTTCCTCTTACGTATATTCTTACGTAGCTTACGTGGCATTTTAAGTGAAGTTAAAAAGCGGTTTTTGACAGATGTTTATTGTGACTTCTTCGTAAAGACTTTGTTAAGACTTCTTCGTAAAGACTTTGTCAAGACTTCTTCGTAAAGACTTTGTTGAGATTTCTTCGTAAATGACCCAAAAATATATTTTAGGTGAAGAGGTGAGATTTCACCTCTTTTTTCACCTCATTTCTCACCTCTTGAATTTTCATGAATTTCTTCGTAAAGACTTTGTTAAGACTTCTTCATCTAATTTCTCATGAACTTTCTTGTCTATGTTTTGTTGAGATTTCTTCGTAAAGACTTTGTTGAGATTTCTTCATCTAATTTCTCATGAACTTTCTTGTCTATGTTTTGTTGAGATTTCTTCGTAAAGACTTTGTTGAGATTTCTTCGTAAATGACCCTAGTAGTATATTTTTGGTGTAAATTTCATGAAAATTCAAGAGGTGAAAAATTAGGTGAAAAAACAGGTGAAATCTCACCTCTTCACCTAAAATATATTTTTGGTGTAAATTTCATGAAAATTCAAGAGGTGAAAAATTAGGTGAAAAAACAGGTGAAATCTCACCTCTTCACCTAAAATATATTTTTGGTGTAAATTTCATGAAAATTCAAGAGGTGAGAAATGAGGTGAAAAAACAGGTGAAATCTCACCTCTTCACCTAAACATTATTTTTGTCTGATTTTACGAAGAAGTCTTGACAAAACATTTACGAAGAAGTCTTGACAAAACATTTACGAAGAAGTCTTGACAAAACATTTACGAAGAAGTCTTGACAAAACATTTACGAAGAAGTCTTGACAAAACATTTACGAAGAAGTCTTGACAAAACATTTACGAAGAAGTCTTGACAAAACATTTACGAAGAAGTCTTGACAAAACATTTACGAAGAAGTCTTGACAAAACATTTACGAAGAAGTCTTGACAAAACATGAAAACATATATAATTTGTGAAAAGTGAAACATTATATAATGTTTTCGACCAAGAAGACTAACAATTTTCCGAATAAAAACTTCATTTATACTAAACATCTTCGGGGCTAGAAGGCACGAAGTGCCTGGAAGCCCCACTACCTTTTTTTTTTTTTTTTTTTTTTTTTTTTTTTTTTTATATAAAAATCAAATTCAATGATCTTAAAAGCGAAGGATAAACCTCAAAATTTACGAATATAATGAGTGGGAATATAATGCTTATCTATCATAAAACCATATGAAATATCAATTTTTGCTTTACGCCTAATTTTTGACGACAATTAGCAAAAAATGTTAAATGTTAACACTCAGTCCATTTGAATATGAAAAATAAAATTGACTTTGATTAAATGTTTTTATTTATCATGCAATTCTTCTTGCGACCAAAGATTTGAATAAAAGTTCAAAAAATAAGATAGCTTAAAAAATAATATACGGTAGTGTTTACTAATAGATGAATAGTATATAAATTCTATTAAAATGGATTTGATCCAAAAAAATATATAAAATTTGATCATAAATAAAATCGTTTTAAATTACTTCTTCATTTAAATTATAACAATTATTTTTGGTTTTATATTTTTTTGGATCAAATCCATTTTAATAGAATTTATATACTATTCATCTATTAGTAAACACTACCGTATATTATTTTTTAAGCTATCTTATTTTTTGAACTTTTATTCAAATCTTTGGTCGCAAGAAGAATTGCATGATAAATAAAAACATTTAATCAAAGTCAATTTTATTTTTCATATTCAAATGGACTGAGTGTTAACATTTAACATTTTTTGCTAATTGTCGTCAAAAATTAGGCGTAAAGCAAAAATTGATATTTCATATGGTTTTATGATAGATAAGCATTATATTCCCACTCATTATATTCGTAAATTTTGAGGTTTATCCTTCGCTTTTAAGATCATTGAATTTGATTTTTATATAAAATAGTTATATATTAGAAAATAATATGAGTTTATGTGATATTATTTTTCAGAAGATTTCATTCTATATGCCTATGAAAAGTACTCTCAAAACTAACTTTTTCCTAATTATAATTAAATCTAGAATATTGTATTATGCTTAGTATTATTTCATTTTTCTCATTCAATTTAGAATTTACAGATGTCAAAAAATTGAGAGCTGTCACTTTTGATGAATTTCTGTTTATTACACTTTTAAGATCAATTACAAATTTGACAACTAATTCAATTTTTGAATGAAAAATGTTGATGGTTAAAAAATTCTACTTGATTGAAATTATGTCATGATTAATCTAATTTATATATAAGATTGCTGCATATGCTAGATTATTAAATATCAAAAAATATCGCTAATATACCTTCCCACACTGAAATATCAAAAAGGAAAAACCAAAAATAGGAGTTCTTGGAGTTGAACCAAGATTTCAGGATTATAAATCTGAACGTTTGATGTAAGAAATCTTACTATCAATACTAAAGATTTTATCTGCGCTCTCCCATTGAGCTAAACCCCTTTACATTTAAAATTTGTCTTCCTGCATATAGCAAGGTTTCATTTTCGTCACTTTTAGAGATTCAAACATGTAATGAGTTGTACATATTCTATTTAACAGATGCTTTATTTGAAGATATGTATTATGGCATGTTTTGATTTGATAATATTTTATTTCGAAAGATAATATTCTTTATCAAATTAATGTCTAAATGCAAAAACAATTTGGAAATAGTAGATTATGATTGAATTATGCATTCTTCATCTTGAATGAAAATATATTTCATTGACAATAAGCGATATTCGTTTTTGGAATAAAAATCTCAAATGTCCATAAGCATACGAAACTTCACTATATGTATTTAAATTAAAACAAGAGATATCAAAGAATCATAATTCTCAAATAAACTGGTATAATGTCAGTAAAATGCAGGATTTAATATGGGCTGCATGTTAATGCGAAAAAACATCAAAATTGAGTTAAGCTGCGTGCCGATAAAAGTTGAAATGAGCGGATAGAAAAAGCACGTTATTTTGGATGAAATGTGTAATTGTTATAGACCGAAAATAGATTTTTTCGGTTTTCTCTTCAAATAATTGAAAGAATGATACTATTATAGGTTTATTATATTATATAGCATATAATCATGCTATAGCCGAAAATTATAAGTTTTGAGAAGATTGAATATAACACAAATAAATTTGAATGTAAGTTAAATTGCTTGTTGTTTTTAATAGGCATTTAATGAGAAATCCAATATTGCAAAATTCAAATTGAATGATTGAAAGAACAGAAAAAGTCATTCTTTTCAATTTCGAATATGTTTCATTGTATTTATAATTATACGGCAAATAAGATATTTAAACTTGATTTTTGAAGGAAAATTCACAAAATTGAATAAATTCAAATAATTTTTATTCAAAAATAAACTAGTTATTTGAGTTTAATACTAATTATCTATTCAAACTACAAAGTTTGTAATTTAAAATATTTTGTGAGATCAGATTGAATTAATTCAAGGTTCTTTTCAATTAATATTAATGACCATATTACGCATTTTCGAACATTCTAAACCAAATATATAAAAATGGGAGACGAATGTTAAATTTGCTAGACATGGGGGAGTTGTCTGCAAAGTTTTAGCTCTTATCTCTAACAAAAAATTAATTTTTAAAAAAATGACCGAATACGTTTCACAGCGAGAAAAAAATAAAAGGCAAGATAGAATTTTCTAGACATAAAGAAGTTGTTTACCGAGTTTTAGCTCTTATCTCTAACAAAAAATTAATTTTTAAAAAAATGACCGAATACGTTTCACAGCGAGAAAAAAATAAAAGGCAAGATAGAATTTTCTAGACATAAAGAAGTTGTTTACCGAGTTTTAGCTCTTATCTCTAACAAAAAATTAATTTTTAAAAAAATGACCGAATACGTTTCACAGCGAGAAAAAAATAAAACTTTACACTGATTTTAATTTTCATTTCCAGTCACTTTACAAAAAAAAAAAAAAAAAAAAAAGGTAGTGGGGCTTCCAGGCACTTCGTGCCCTCTAGCCCCGAAGATGTTTAGTATAAATGAAGTTCTTTACGAAGAAGAACTTTACAAAACATAGACAAGAAAGTTCATGAGGAACTCTCAACAAAGTCTTTACGAAGAAGAACTTTACAAAGTCTTTACGATGAACTCTCAACAAAGTCTTTACGAAGAAGAACTTTACAAAACATAGACAAGAAAGTTCATGAGAAAGTCTTTACAAAGTCTTTACGAAGAAGTCTTTACAAAGTCTTTACGAAGAAGTCTTTACAAAGTCTTTACGAAGAAGTCTTTACAAAGTCTTTACGAAGAAGTCTTTACAAAGTCTTTACGAAGAAGTCTTTACAAAGTCTTTACAAAGTCTTTACAAAACATAGACAAGAAAGTTCATGAGAAAGTCTTTACAAAGTCTTTACGAAGAAGTCTTTACAAAGTCTTTACGAAGAAGTCTTTACAAAGTCTTTACGAAGAAGTCTTTACAAAGTCTTTACAAAGTCTTTACAAAACATAGACAAGAAAGTTCATGAGAAAGTCTTTACAAAGTCTTTACGAAGAAGTCTTTACAAAACATAGACAAGAAAGTTCTTGACAAAGTCTTTACGATGAAGAAGTCTTTACAAAACATAGACAAGAAAGTTCTTGACAAAGTCTTTACGATGAAGAACTTTACAAAACATAGACAAGAAAGTTCATGAGGAAGTCTCAACAAAGTCTTTACGATGAAGAACTTTACAAAACATAGACAAGAAAGTTCATGAGGAAGTCTCAACAAAGTCTTTACGATGAAGAACTTTACAAAACATAGACAAGAAAGTTCATGAGGAAGTCTCAACAAAGTCTTTACGATGAAGAACATTACAAAACTTCATCGTCAATGAGTGTAAATCAGGCAAAAATATATTTTAGGGTAGATGGTTAGATCTAACCTGTTTTCTAACCTCATTTCTACCCTCTTGAATTTTCATGAACTTTCTCAACAAAGTCTTTACGATGAAGAACTTTACAAAACATAGACAAGAAAGTTCATGAGAAAGTCTTTACAAAGTCTTTACGATGAAGAACTTTACAAAACATAGACAAGAAAGTTCATGAGAAAGTCTTTACGATGAAGAACTTTACAAAACATAGACAAGAAAGTTCATGAGAAAGTCTTTACGATGAAGAACTTTACAAAACATAGACAAGAAAGTTCATGAAAATTCACGAGGGTAGAAAAGAGGTTAGAAAACAGGTTAGATCTAACCATCTACCCTAAAATATATTTTTGGGTCATTTACAAAGTCTTTACGATGAAGAACTTTACAAAACATTGACAAGAAATTGACAAGAAAGTTCATGAGAAAGTCTTTACAAAGTCTTTACGAAGAAGTCTCAACAAAAAATTGACAAGAAAGTTCATGAAAATTCAAGAGGGTAGAAAGTGTCATATAAACATCTGTCAAAAACCGCTTTTTAACTTCACTTAAAATGCCACGTAAGCTACGTAAGAATATACGTAAGAGGAAGAGAGCATTGAAACATCCAATAGTAAAACTGACACCACAACAACAGTTGCAACAACAAATGATGAATGACCCCACTATGTTGCAACAAATGTCAAGCAATCCTATGCTTTTAAACCGAGTTGTTGGTGCACAGAGTGGAGGTTTAAGAGCGGCACTTTTAGCGAAAATGGCAGGCTATGGTGGAGCTGCAGACGGAACAGCTATAACCCTCAAAGTCAAATGAATTTGAGTTCACTCAAAAATCAAATAACAGATGTCAAAAAGTCAAACATAGACATACAGAAGCAAATAAGTGAAAACGAAAAGAAACTAGAATATGACAGACACACAAAGAAACTCAATGAGTTAAACGTAGAGAAAAAGAAGAAAGAAGAACAACTGAAAGAACTAAGTACAGAGGAATATGCGAAAAAAGTGTCAGAAAAAGCAGCAGAAGTAGCAAAAATGGAACAAGATGTCATAAATTTGAAAAACCATACTACTCAATATAAAGTACTGAAAGATGAAGAGATAAAACAAAAAGCCCTGAAGACATATATGGATAGCGATGAGTATAAAAAAGAAGTTGAAGCAAATGTAAAGGCAGAAAAACTTTTACAGTTGCAAAACCAAACCGTACAGTATGAAAACTTAGCACAAGAAAGTAAAAATAACGACGCAGCCATGCAAAAGGCAATGAAAAGCGCAGAATATATAAAAGCTAACAATGACTGGTTAGATGCCCAAGCCAACGCTAAAGCAGCCCAACTCATAGGGTCAATAAGGACAAAAATACAAGCGGATGAAGATAGTTCAAATGAAGCTTTAACAAATGCTGACTTTAAGAACGCTTTCGAAGCTCTTCATAGTAAGGTGAAACAAGTGAACGACTTCTCATCTGGAAAGAAACTGAAGTCTGAAGGTTTCGACAAAGAGTTAAAAGAAGTAGCACAAAATATGACGAAAATAACAGATGCAGCAACGAGACAGGCAGTTCAAAGTGCCTATGACGCCGTTAGAGCAACTGTTGTGGAAAGTCAAGAAAAAGAGTTACAACAGACCAAAACAGACCTAGTAAATGCTTTCTTAAAAACGAAAAGTCAGGTAGGACATTATGCTGCAGATGGAACATATGTGCCAGCTGGTGGAACTTATATACCAACTGGTGGAACTTATATACTAGCTAGTGGAACCTATATACCACCAAACCCTCCAAGAGAAGCACCTGCACCAGGACTACCTAAAACATTTACATCGTCACATGGACACAGACACAGGCATGCACCAAAACCAACACAGCAACCACCTCCACAACCAGCACAGCAACCAACAGTTCAAAACCCTGCACAACAACCACCTCCACAACCAGCACAGCAACCAACAGTTCAAAACCCTGCACAACAACCACCTCCACAACCAGCACAGCAACCAACAGTTCAAAATCCAGCACCACAACAACCACAAACAGAGCAAGGACATAAAAGAAGTAGAGAACAAGGAAACCAAGAATTCTTAAAAATGCTTAAGGAAGACTATGGTTACCCAGATACTCTTGACTTTAGTGACAGATATAAAGAAGCTATTAGAAAGTTCAAGGAAGGAAATACTGACCCGAACCTATTTAGCTTTATGGTTCAGCACCAAATGGGATATAATTTCAAACCTGGAAAATACAAGCTCGCTAAGGGATATGATTTAATAGCATATCATCCAAATGACATGAATGAATTTACTCCAAGATATTTGGTGTCAGAGATAAATGATAATTCAACTATCTTCATGAAACGCGTAAAAAATAGAGACGGAACGAAAGAAGAAAGGGTTATGAATGCGGATGGCTTAAATAGGGAACTTGTTGAAAACGGTCTCGGAATATATGAAATGCCAGCAGATGAGGTACAAGAAACTCCACAGGAAGAAATAGTTCAGATACAACCAGACATGGAAGAAATAGTTCAGCAACAACAGCTAGAAGAGCCTGAAGGAAACGAACAAGTCACTCCTTTGGAAACTAACTTCACAGAACTAGATGAAGATTTGGAACAGCCGAAAAATCTTGACCCTCAACAAGAGTATGCGGAGAATATGGAATCTTTTCCAAGAGTCTAAAAAAAATTCGGCTGACATAGTAGAAGAATATCGAAAAATGTTTGCCGACATACAAAAGACTCCAACACCAGATGAAAATATTCAGCATAGAATGGAAGCACTGAAAGAAAATGTACACAAATACAACAACCCTTTTTACTTACGAGCATTTAACGTTCAATCTTCGGATGAACTCGGTGAAGATAAAAGGTTAAATTTCAAGAAAACATATAGAAATGAAACATTGTTTAAAGTTCATTCAGAACCTAGCCAAGATGGAAACAAACCTACTTTTGTTTCTGCAGACGATGGAACTACAATGAGATGGGGTCATAAAGCTAACTCGGATAGGTGGTTCATAAACTTACAACCTCAATTCCAAGAAGTTGTAGACGCAATGGAAGTGAATGGTGAACCAGATATAGCTGGTATTTTCAGCGCGGCTTTAATGCCGTTGAAAGATATGAAAGATGCAGATATTTTGGACCAGTATGAAATGAACATGGCTGATGGAAATATAACACCTGACGTTCTAGAACATTTATCTCAAAGAACTACACAGAACCATAAAGATGGTATATTTGGTGAAGAGTTTAGAAAGAAAGTTAGGGAGAGAGAAGGAAGAGAACCTATTGTACATGACCTTGCAAACGAAAGTTTGCAAAATGTCATAAAAACTTACTTTGCAGACAATGAACCGAGAAGGGATGAATATTTAAGAAAACTCAAATGGACAGTACCAAATGAAATGTTAGTATTGAAAAACATGTTCCTTGACAAAATAAAACCAACTACAGAAATAAACGACGCAAGACTGAAAGATTGGGTAAAAGCTTTCCCATTCACAAAAGATATAGTTGGTAACATGGAAAGAAAACCAGAATGGCTACAAAAACATATATTTGGAAACGAGCTTATTCCATATGGACAAGCTCTGTTTGAAGAGCTTGAACCAGAAACTCAGGAAAGAGTCATGCAAACAATACGCGAAGACTCAAATACAGACTATGACAAACTCTTTCTAGGATATAGGTTACCTGAGATGGGCGACCAGAGCCAAAAGGCAAAAAGGACATGGGAAATTTGCAACATACTAGATGAACATAATGCAAAGATGCAACAACTTCAAGCAGAGGGCAATGAAGGAAAAAGAAGAGTTAAAAACTCAGTCAGGAAGAAAGTAAAGCTTGGTCCACGTGGGTTCTATTATGACATATAAATCCAACTATTCTATATTTTTACTCATATGAAATGTACGCCGCTCAGAATATAACGCCAACAGTTTTGGATGCTATGAATGGAAATGTTTCCGAATGGTATAACGAATGCGACAATGCCATTAGAAGGTCAGAAATAGTTCCTGGAACTTACGAATATACAACTGCTGTTTCATATGGAAACGTAGGTGAGTTTGGTGAAGGTTCTTCAACAACAGTAGATATTGCTTGCGACAGGTTTCATATTATTTCTATTGACAACTCTTTCTTATACGTGGAACAAGACATTGAAATAAAACCTTCTGCCAAGTTGTCTGACAAGAAAGGTTGCAATGGAATTTTCTATGTCGGATACCAATATGCTCCAGAAGTTTTCATGGGATATAAGATATATTCTAACTCTGACTTAGTTCAAACAGTAACATGGGCAAACTATGAATGGTTCGCTTTGAGAAACTCAGTACAACCACAAGCTAGAGAACAAACAGACCAGTATGCAACTATTGAGAAAATAAGAAGACTTGACCCTAACGTTCCAGGAGTTTATGTTGACCTTTCTGGACAAACTGCAGCAGCAGTAACCAAAGTAAAATTGAAACTTAGAGTTCCTTTGTCATCTTTCCTCATCTTCAGGTTTTTAAGATACTTGCCAAACTGGGCAGGAAAAATTTCTATCGAACTTACTCCAAGCAAAAATAACTTAGTCATTGCACCAACACAAGACCCATTCAGCATTGCTGTAGCTGGAACTGGTGGAGCCAAGTTCTGTGACTTTTGCAAAGACAAAGTTGACTTAGACTTTGGTTTCTCAAACCTCAACACTGAAGTAAACTACTACTTCAATGCTGCTGGAACTGCTTGGGACCCAGTTAAGTTCACATGCGAAAAGTTTGAATGCAAGAGAATAGAAAGCAGACTTGCAGTCTATATGTTGGACCCAGATATTTCAAATGCTTTAGCTGCCAAATATATTGCAGTTCCACTTATGTTCCCTATACACCAAATATCTGTCAAAGACTTTGCAGGTGAAGTTGGAAACCAAAGTGCTGACCCAGGTGCAAGAACAGATATTGCTTTAACAACTGCAATGAAACATGCAGATACTATGTTTGTACTGTTCAGACGAACTATAAATGACTATTCTTGCTTCTACAACCCTGGTATTAAATACCATATAAACATAGATGGCAAATATTATCCAAGAGAAGAATATTCTACAGTTGAGGATATGAGGTCATACAACTTGACATTAGATGCTATGAACTTTAACAACAACTTCACAACAACCATTAACCCTGAAATGCAAAGTTCTATTATGCCATATGTGAAAGTATGGACTCATACAGGAGGTCAAAAAACTCAATATACAAATGGAGACCGTTCAAACTTTTGGCTTGGCATTCCATTTGCTGACTCAGAAGACTTTATGGGTGGTATTTCAACTGTTGGTACAGTTCAAATACAATATACTGGTGACAGAGACGGTCCAGATGAACTGAGAGCAAAGAAGTTTACAAAACCAATAGCACTTTTCACGGAAGATGCTCTTTTGAAGATTCGTTCGATGAAACCTGCTGGGGCTCCTCAGATTGGCATAACGACAGCTTCCATCGAGCAGATTTTGGCAGCAGGTCAGTAAGTTGTTCTTGAACTGACTTCTCTCCGTCAAATATTGACAGTACGCCAGTTTTGACATAGTATTGTATTAAAAACTTACCTTTAGAAATATCGGTCAGTTTTGTTGTTATATTTTTGTCTGCTTCAAGAACTTTCACCATCTCGGTTATACCAACTTTCTTTGCTTTATGAAAATATTTTGGTTCAGCAAAGACTGCTATTCTATAACATTTTCCATTGTTTGTGTAAAGAACTATTCTGTCAATGAACTTGTATTGTTTGTGTGTGTAAACTTTGTTCTGCTTCAATTCGAAGAGATACTCGAATACGTCCATCTTTTTATTCTAAGTAAAATGTCATTTCCGAAAAATAGAAGCGTGAGTGTTTCAAAAGGTTTAATGGCGGTGGCAGATGTGAAGTTAAATTCACCAACTCAAACAAACAGTCAAAGTGTTGTTGTCAATGTCAAAGAAAGAGATGTTGAAGTGGGGAAACCATACGAAGACGAAGATGGTATAACAATAGTTCCTGTAAAAGAACAACCAACATATCCTGAAGTTAGCAGAGACTTAAGTTCTGTTGCAGATATTCGAAACGACTACCAACAACTTAAAGACAAACTTAAAACTCAGGAGAAGATTTGTCAAGCTTTAGGTATAATGTTAAACTTGGTCGAACACAACCCTGTAAAAGTGAACTCATATGTCATCGCACCTCATGAAATTTTGAAAGAACTATTGAAACTTTTGACAGAGGCAGACGATATAAACATCAAAGAAATAGAACCCGACGTTAGTTGCTGTGGTGTTTCATATAATGTCATTGACAAGATATACGTTATGAAAGGAGGTGAAACGTTGAACTTAAAATATAGTTTCCCAGACGTCATAAAAATATTTGACGACCACAACATTTCATTAAAATTTACTTGCTAAGTAAATGGCAGAAGACATAGTGGTTTATACTATTACGACTAAAAACCCTGAGTCATATAATTCTATAACAACAAACTTACAAAGTCCTCAAGGACGATATTGTAAACTAACTTTAAACACGATGACGACTAAAGCCTGTTTTGCTCTTTTGACACCAGAAGACTTTGTTGTTGTGAATGGTAAAAAATACTTCTTTGAAGATACTTACTCAGATATACCACCAACAGGTTTTGTTGACTTATTTAATACTTTAAGGACGGATGTAACATGTGCTGCAACTAGAGCAGGTTTCATTATGTTTGGATGTCCGACTGAGTTTAGTATAAACGATATGAGCTATAATACAAAACTTATATCTGGTTTTTACTACCAACAGTTTCCTATAACAGGAAAAGGTGTCATACAAGGTTTGTCTGTTCCATTGACTTTAAGTACACCTATTTTATATATTGTTTCAAACTTAGGTTCAAAGTGTTATTCGAATGTCGACAGAAACTACTATGACCAAAAGATACTCATGCGTATAAACAACACTTTCTCTGCTGGTTTGCCTATTGTTCATTCGAATGCAGAGTTTTCAGCTTTAGTAAACTCAAACACTTTAGCAAACATAAACTTAACCTTAGTTGACGCAAACTTTGTTCCTGTAAAACTTTTATGTCCTATGTATTTGTCAATGACGGCAGAAAGTTTCGAATTGGAAGATGCAACTGGTGAAAGTATTGTACTACAAGAACAACTTCAACAACAAATAGCTCAAGAACAACAAATGCAACAAATGGAACAACAAATGCAACAAATAGCTCAAGAATAAAACAGTATATTTTTATTTTATTTGAAATGTACGCTGAGTTTTGTTGGAGCAGACCGTTGGGAAACATGTTTGTTAGATGAGAAGTAAAACATTGCATGAAATAAAACATTTTTTAAAAAAATATTTTTTTATTTTATTTGAAATGTACGCTGAGTTTGTTGGAGAAGACCGTTGGGAAACTTGTTTGTTAGATGAGAAATATGAAATTCACTGTTGTGAGTCATTTGAAGTCAGAAACAAAAAGACAAAAAGAGTTTTAAGCGAATGGGAGCAAAATAAAGGATATGCTAGGATGAAGATGAGTGGAAAACACTATTTAAAACATGTTGTCATTGCAACTCATTTTATACCGAACCCTAACAATCTACCTCTTGTAGACCATATAAACCGTATAAGAAACGACAATAGACTTGAAAACTTACGTTGGGTTACTCGTTCTGAAAACAATAAGAACAAAAGCAAATTTAGAGATATTGTATTCGAATTTGTCGACGAACTAGAAGATGAAGCAATTGAAATTATAGACTATGGCAAGCATACGTTTGAGTTTTACTACTATAGCGAAGAACAAGACTCTTTCTACTTTTATACCGGCGTAAACTATAGGAAATTACAAGTATGTTTTACTAAGGATGGCTATGCTTATGTAAACACTAGAGATACAGATGGAAAATACGTTAAAATACTTCTTAACAAATTCAAGAAGCTATATGGCATACCATTTTAAAACGTTTTAAAAAAAAAAATATTTTTTTATCCGATAGAAAAGATGACGAAATATATTTCAGTAAATAAGTACATGACAGAAGTCAAAGATAAGTTAGCTCCATTCGCATATTTGAATGTTTACTTCTACCATTTTGAAAAGTCTTCATTTGACAAAGTTTGGAACATCGAACCAGTTAAGTTTGCTATTGTGACTAAAAATGGTGCGAAATTTGAAGACTTAGACATAGAAGGTTTGTTAACAGTCAAAGAAAATTTTGACAGAAGGTTCTCAAACCTTAAAGAAGGCAAAGCATACAAACTTGTTATACTTATGAACCAAAGAAAGCAGACGACTATGAATATTATGAGTCTAAGATAGTTGAAGTTCAAGGTAAATTGGGTAAAAAGATTTTAGAGTCTAAGCCAGTGTTTGCTCCTAAAGAGGAAGAGAACATTGACATTGACCCAGAAATGTTCTAAAAATAAAATTTTATTTTTACATGTCAAATTTCTTTTTCTCTGGCTCTGGTTCAGGTTCTTTCTTCTCTTCTACTTTCTTTTCTTTCTTCTCTCTCTTCTTCTTCTTTTCTGGTGGAGTTATGTCAAATTTCTCAGAACCATATTTATGTAAAAGTTCTTTGTCCTTTAATAGCTCTTCTATTCTGTTTCCTATTTCATCTTCAAGAACAGCGCATGTGTCTTCTTTGCATTCTAAGAACTTTTGTTGGACTTCATCTCTCCAAGAGGCGTCATCTCTGTCAACAAGTCTGTCATTGACAAATTTTAAGACTGCTCTGCTTAATGTTTTATGGTTCTTGTCATATTCCCAGAAACAGAACTTTAGAACAAATTCACCTTTCTTGTTTACACTATGTAAGATTTTATGGTCGACAGATGTTTTAGAGTCAAAAAGCTTGTCTCGAATATAGATAGCGAAATCACTAGACATTTTCTAAAAGATAAAAATTTTAATTTTTCTAAAAATATGTTAGAAAAAAAGTTTGCTGACATTGACAAGAAATTTGAGAATGTTTTGAAGAAGAACAAGAGGAAGTTAGAAAATGCTCAGATAAAACCTATACATGACAAGTTCCTATTTGCTCAGAATGGTATAACAGGTCTAATCGCACCACCTGGGTCGGGTAAGACTTTCACTTATCTTAAAATGGCTGCACAACAACAAGAACTAGATGAGAAGAACCCATTCTATGAGTTAGTTGTTATTTGTAGTACTTCTGGTCAATTCGATCAAACCGTCAATTCGTTCAAAGATATTATAAAAAAGTCTAAGTTAGTATGTATAAAAGACTCTGAGTTGTTAGATTGGATAAAGAAGTACCAAAGAAGAGTTTTGAAGTACAATGCTATAAATGAGTATGTCAATTCTAAGTTTAAAGACCCAAATGAGGAAATGCAGAGAATATTAGAGAAGAAACACTTCAGAAACAAACAGAAAGAGATAGAATACATTTCGAAGAAATTGCAATCTTACGATTGGAAGACATACCCTCATAGATGTCTTCTTATCTTAGATGACTTTGCTTCTCATCCTTTGTTAAAGAACAGAGAACAAGACATGTGTCGAATTCTTAAGAAGCTCAGACACTTTAACATCTCAGTTGTCATTTGTGTACAGACAGCAAAGAGTTTAAGTAAGGATGTTAAAAGAATACTTACTGATATCATACTTTTCCCTGGATTGTCCGAAGACGATTTCATGGAACTTATGAAAGAGTCCATGGCAGGTAAGTTTGACAGACATGAACTATGGGAGAAGTACAAAGTCATACAAGACCCTCATACTTCTTTCAGAATTCACATCTACGCGAACAAAGTTCAAATTGTAAAAAGTCAAGCTTGAAAAATGTAAGTGTTTGAGTCTTAGTCTGTTGTGGTGCTGGGGTTGTCGGTTCTTCTGGCTTTGGAAGACATTCAGGAAGAGGAACGTCGGACATTCGTTTGTGTCCTGTCGGAAGGAAGAGTTCTTCCTGTTGTCGGGAAATTTTTTTCCAGTTGTCGGGAAAATTTTTTCCAGTTGTCGGGAAAAATTTTTCCAGTTGTCGGGAAAAAAGTTCTCAATTTTCGAAAATTTGAATGGTTTACGGACGGACAACAGGAAAATTTTTTCCAGTTGTCGGGAAAATTTTTTCTTGTCGGATGGAAAAACTTTTTCTGTCGGATGGAAGAACTTGGAATGTCGGAAGGAAGGACTCGGAATGCCAGAAGGATTTGACAAGACAATTTACCTTATAGAGCTACCTGAGCCATCTGAAGTCAAGCGTAAAAATAAATGGTTCATTTACTCTGCTTGTTTGAAGTTGTCAAAATACTCTGTTATTTTTTCCTTTAACAATGGCAAATCTTCTTTGAAGGTAAGTATTGTACAACCTTTAATATCATAGTGTGTTTGAGGTAACGTATCTTGAACTATTTGTTTCACATCTTCATTTGGGGTCATTGAAATCGGTAAGTTTTCGCGATAGAACCAATTTCTGTCAGATTTGTAAATCTTAGCAAGGTCGTAAAAGCTTTTGTTGTTTCTTCTGACTAAATGCAACATAACCATATCTCTGTCTTCTTCATTTTCCATCTCTTCAGTATAAATCATATACTTATAGTTCTTTTCCTTTCCTTTTGGTACCGAACGTGGTATTCTTTTCTGTATGTTTTTGTCTTTTGCTTCAATGACTTCATCTTTTGCTTGAAGTTTCTTTTCCATCTCTTCACGTTCTTGTCTATGAATTTCATCTAACATCATGAAAATATAACAAGCGTAACGAGGTGAAGCCCACATTGCAACAGCATTTACAAGAAGTCTATGTACATAATATCCTTTCAAACAAGGAGCCAAATTCTTGCGATTTTCGAATGGAATCTCTTCCCTCGGTTTTCCGAGGGAAGCAAACATATGAGGAAATTCTTCTAAAAGTTCTTTTGTCTGTTGGTTTTCAAACCAATGGTATGCTTGCTTTGTAGAACGAAGAGTATTCAAAATACTTTGCATTTGGTACATGTCATCTTTGACCGAACGAATGAGACGGAGTTGTTTGTTAAACTGAACCCACTCATATTCTTCATTTATAGCTTCATGGACTATAACTGTTGTTGTGTTCTCTGTTGTTGACATATCTGTTTCTTATATACAGGATAAAAAAATATTTTATAAAAAACTAACTTTATTTTTTCTATCTTAAGGAAATTCATGATTTCATAGAGTTTTGGCGACCCCGAAGGAAGTCGGTCTAGAGAAATTTCACTGTTTTTCGTACGGAATCTCTATCCTCGGTTTTTCGAGGGTAGCAATCTTATGCCATTTTACTCAGATTTTTGTGCTGAATTCAGCAAAAATAATGTTTAGGGTAGATGGTTAGATCTAACCTGTCTTCTACCCTCTTTTCTACCCCAGTTATTTTATAAGCGTTTTACATGGTAAACGTTATTTTTACATGTATTTTTCAGCAACTTCGTCAAATAATTTTATAGCACTATCTATCTCATCTACTTCAAACGTTTCTTTACCTTTTATGGGAGCACCATACATTTTTCTCAAACTTTTCGAGTAGTTCTGTTTCAGCAGCTCTCATATCGTTAACTAACACAACCTTGACTCTATTGACTGTACTGTCATATCTTAGAGTTATATTATATGTCCTTCCTATCTTATATCTTTTTGTGTTGAAGTCCTTCGGTTTCTGAACGATGTAAAGTAAGCCTTCACTGCAACGTTCTGAGTCGAATGAACCATATGTTATGAAGTTATATCCAACAACTGGGTCTAACCATAACAAACTATTGGTATAAGACTTTTGTCGATGAGATATGCTGTAGTTCCATAGAATCTTACCGATATCATAAGCTCAGGATTTCTTGTCAAAATTTTCTGAGTAGAAGCAATTCTAACCCAGTCCTTTGCTTTCTTTCCAGATGGAGATAAAATGTCTGACAAAGAATATTTGTTGTATTTCTTTGAGTATCTTACGTTTAAATCACCTATTCTAACCACTTTGGTGTCATTGTCTATCTTTCCAACTGTTTCAAACTCAATGTTTGACATTTCCTGTTCTTACATACAAAATAAAAAAAAATATTTTAAAAAAACTAGCTTTTATTTTCTATCTTAAGGAAATTCATGAAATTTGGTCATTTTTCAGCAAAAATATATTTTAGGGTAGAAGGTTAGATCTAACCCGATATCTAACCTCATTTCTACCCCAGTTATTTTATAAGCGTTTTACATGGTAAACATTGTGAATTCGTGAAATTCTAAACAATTTCGTAGCTTCTATTTCTTCTGTCAGTACATCGAATGTTTTAACAATGCCGAAGGTTTCTTTATATTTCTTCTTGACATCTGAAAGAAGGAAATCGTCAGCTGTTGGATAGTTTTTGTTTAGAAATGTCAACATGTCCATTTTATCTTCTGCTGGTTTCTCTGCCTCCCTCTTTAAGTCAGCATAGTCGTTTCGCATACGTTCTATCTCTTTGACGGAGTAGTTATATTTCCTCATTGCTGCTTTACATTTAGAACATTGTGGGTTCATTTTTGCGTTATATTCTGAAACCTTACCTGCTAGTATGACTAAGGCGTCAATTGCTCTCTTTAACTCAAAAGTTGCGGGTTTTATCTGTTCATTCCATATCTTACCTCTTCTATCTTTATCTCTTATCTGCCATACACATTCAGCAACTAACGAAACAAAGTTGTCGTAGGTCTTAAACTCCCCAGATTTGTATATGTCAGAGATGTTCTTATATACCATGTCGCAATCTTTGTCCATGACTTTGTGGTTGCAATGAAATCCAAGAAACTCATAGTTAACCTTTCGTATGAACTTCTTTATTTCTACTGAGTCAGTTGCTTTGACTTCTATTTCGTCGAATTCAGGAATAGTAAGCTTTTGTTGTTGTATTTCAGGAAGTTTAGGTAGATGGTCAATAATGTCCTGCATTTCATAAAGATACTGTTCATTTGTTTCATCTTTCGCACAACAGTCCAAAGTACTTGTTAAAAGTTCTTGCTTTATCTTCTGGATTTTTGTTTCGAAAGTATATGAAGAAGGAATGAAGCTTTTCATCTCTACTAACATAGATGTTGGATTCATGACTAACGAGTTTGGTGCTGTTGTTGCTAACATGTTCTTACAATAAAAATAAAAAAATATTTTTTTAAAAAAACCAACTTTATTTTTTATTTCGGGAAAACTCATGAGGTTAGAAAACATGTACGAAGAAGTCTTGACAAAACATTTACGATGAAATCATGACAAAACATTTACGATGAAATCATGACAAAACATTTACGATGAAATTCATGAAAATTCAAGAGGGTAGAAAAGAGGTTAGAAAACAGGTTATATCTAACCTTCTACCCTAAAATATATTTTTGCCGAAAAAATGGTTCATTTACTCACAATATTTTTGTACAAAACGACCCAAACTTTTAACTTCTTTTCTGCAGCTTCTAATGTTATCTTAGCGAGTTCATATTCTCTAAATTCTCTCTTTAAATCTTCTTGTTCCCATTGGTCTAGTTCGTATGGAGAATCTCTATAACCAGAACATATCTCACGTTCATGTTCTATTTGTTTTTCATGCATTTTTCTAACTTCTTCTTCAAACAAAGGTTTTGCATTCTCTACTGTATCTTCAAGTTCTTCTTCATCTAACTTCTCATGAACTTTCTTGTCTATGGAGTCCATAATTTTTCCAACTGCTATACAATATTTTGGAGAAGCCCACATTGCAATATAGTTTACGAGTCTTGGGTCTACATACATTCCTCTAACCTGTTTGATTTCATCAGGAATTCCTGCATTAACATTGTATAAAAAGCAACCCGCGGAATTCCGCGGGGTGGTATATTCTTCACAAAATGCCTTAAAATACTCTTCCCAGGACTTATTTTCCAACAACCTTCTAAAGTCTTTCCTAAACTGCTGACACATCTTTGTTGCATTTATATAACCATCCTTGTCTCTACGTAAGACTTCAATACCGTTGTAAGTGCCTTTTGTGAATGTTTCGCCATTAGATTTGTTCGTGAACGTTTTTGCTTCGACTGACATTTCTGTTCTTACAATAAAAATAAAAAAATATTTTTTGGTGGTACGTCGGACATTCGTTTGTGGCTTAACCGTCGGACCACAACGATAAAAATCTCTGCTACTAGCAGTACTGCTACTGACAGTAGCAGTACTTTTTCTGACAGTAGCAGTACTTTTACTGACAGTAGCAGTACTTTTTCTGACAGTAGCAGTACTTTTACTGACAGTAGCAGTACTTTTTCTGACAGTAGCAGTACTTTTACTGACAGTAGCAGTACTTTTTCTGACAGTAGCAGTACTTTATCGTCGAAAACCCTCTCAAATTTTCCTTTTTACTGCAACTAGCAGTACTTTTACTGACAGTAGCAGTACTTTTACTGACAGTAGCAGTACTTTTACTGACAGTAGCAGTACTTTTACTGACAGTAGCAGTACTGCTAGTAGCAGAGATTTTTATCGTCCAACTTTACAAATGTAAACTTATATCGTTCTATTTTCTTCACTAGGGTCTAACACCAAAGTAACCTTACAAATGTAAACTTATATCGTTCTATTTTCTTCACTAGGGTCTAACACCAAAGTAACCTATGTACATGAAATTTCACTGCATAAAAGGAAAAAACCTGCGCGAATCGGGATTTGAACCGAGGTCTTCGACGCCTGTAGCGAGGTAGCCCATACCACTGAGCTATGAGCCGCTTGCATATTTTTAAGTAAAATATAGTATATTTGTCATATAGTGAAGGATGACCAAACTTAAAAAAAATAACGCTAAAATATATTTTTTTCTATCTTAAGGAAATTCATGAAAATTCAAGAGGGTAGAAAAGAGGGTAGAAGACAGGTTAGATCTAACCTTCTACCCTAAAATATATTTTTCAGTACTTTTTCAGCACTTTTCCGTAGTTGTATATGAAAGACAATTCGAGATAAAAGTCATAGTACAAAGGTATAATATGCTGCACACCGTTTGTTGTGAACCAAACTTGAAAGTCAGAGAAACTGTTACTAGGTGGTTCGTAGAATTTAGAAGCAAAGTCATAAAAGTCCTTACCGATACAAAGAAAACTATTGTTGCTTGAACTGAAACTTGCATGACATATAACATTTTGAGGGTCAAACACGTTTCTATAAACTGTCAAATCTGTTGGTGGGCGTATAAATTTAAACGGACCGTCAGGTGGTAATGGTTCGTTCTGGTTTAGTAACCGAAGAAATTGCGCCCAAGAACGTTTGTCTACTTCCCAAAATAAAAACTGTGTACTTCTTCGAGGGTTAATTTCAATCCTTTGAAATGAAACTGTGGAGTTCATCTTGTCATATTCTAGTTTCAGATAGTATGTTCCATTTAGTAAAGAGTCGTATTTTTCTTGAAATTCCAGTAGTATTTGTTTATTTGAGTTTGAAAGTCATTTAGAGTTTTCTCAAGACTTTCGTCTGAACGAACTGTAAAGATTCTCATTTCGTCAAATTTGTCTATTAGACCATCAGAACCTTCATACTGACCATGAAAATATACTGCAAACATAAAAGCGTTAGTTCTATTTGAAAACAAAACTCTTCTAAATCCTATTGCCTTTGCATCTGAAGGACTTTGAAGCCAACGAATTGGATAGTCAAACCTGTAAGTACGGGATGAAATTTCTTCATCTGATATATTCCTACCCGCGTTTGTAAAGATATAGTCTAACGGTTTTGTATCTGCTACTTTTGTTCTTTGTTTTTCAACCTGAAACATTTAATATATGTAAAAATATACTGTTTTAAAAAATGTTTTAAAATGGTATGCCATTTCATATTTCTCATCTAACAAACATGTTGTCTGACTGCTTGAGGGTTACGTTTGTACCATTCGAACTTCACGCTTACAATTCCTTCAATTGCATTCAAAATATCGGAGTCGGAGTCAACCATTTGTTCTCTCTTTGTAGTCTTGAAAGCGTCAAGAAGCATTGCAGCTGTTGTGACATTGCCATGTGAGTAGTATATATGACCATCTAAATCTGTTACGGTTAGTCTGAGATTGTATCCTTTCTTATTTCCGTCTTGTATGGCAGCAAGTACACCCATGAAGCCTTCTTTGTTCTTTCCTTCTTCAAAGTTTACTGTAAAGGTTCGACCAGATGTAATTTGACTTCTAACTTCACGGTACTTTTCATATGCATATCTTGTTCTTTCCATGGGAGCATGACCATCCTCTGCACTACCTTTTTTCCTTCTCAAAGGATGCAACTGTTCGTTATGTTTCCAGTAGAACCTGGCAAAGCCGTCGTGTCCTTCAACTTGAGGCTCAGAAACATCGAAAGGCAAGTTCATAAGACGCTCTTCTTCTAATCTCTCTAGTCTGTTTGGATAATTGGCGCGTGCTGTTTCCAAGTCCATCTCGTAGCGAAGACCAGCCAGTTTGTCATAGACTTTTATGGGTCTTCCCTTCCTATATTTAAAATTCTTTGAAACTTTCCAACCATATCTTTCTAACTCTGCTTTTATTCTAGCAGATTTTCTATCCATTCTATGCGGGGGCATTTTTATAAAAATAAAAAAATGTTTTTTCTTTACTTTACGTAACCGCCTGCTACCAAAAGTCTTTGACGCCAACCCATACCAGCTAATGAAGGTTGACTTGGTTTAGTCTCCAAACTAAACTTTGGTTTTGGTTTATCTTCAGTTTTTGGCTTCCCTTCTTCTATTGGTTTTTCGTCACTTTTCGGTTCCTCTGACTTTACTTCACTTGCAGGTATGGTTGTGTCGTTAGTATCTTCATAAATGTCATATGCCATTTGTTTTTGTTTTCCTTTCAACTTTTTGTGTTTGTTGTAAAGTTTAGAATATTTCGACTCTAAGTCAATGAGATGTTCTATAATGAACTGTTGGTCGGTGAAGTAAACTTTTCCATCTGTTGTCTCTTTAACTCCTTCAGACTTCAATATTTTATTTGTGAGAGTCTGTTTCTTTTTTGAGATACTAGCCGTTCCATTTCTATGAAAAGTGACTTTATAGTTAGGGTTTGTATTTCCAGACCTGGCACTTTCTATTATTGAATTTTTCTCTTCATCTGTAAGTTCTTTGACAGGTTTTGACAATGGTTCTGAACTTTTTGTTTGTGGTGTCAAATCTACCGTTTCAACTTCTTCGGTCATTTCATCTCAGTAAAAAATTTTAGTTTGGTTTGTTTTCAACTGGTTGTTTAGGTTTTTTAAGTCGGTCTAAAACTTCCTGAGGTATAGGAAGAACTTGACAAACACGTGGTTGTGTAACTGCTGGAAGTCGACAAATCCATCTTGAACCCATTTGTCTCAATGCTGTATTGTTCATTTCATCTCAGTAAAAAACTTTACATTCCCCAAGTTTGAGGTGGTTGAGGTTGGTTATTGTTTACCCATTGTTGTGCATGGTTATATCCTCTGTTAAAGAATCTTTCACCTTGGTCCATATAGTGTCCTGCTTGGTTATAGTAGTCATTTGCTTTGTTATAATAGTTTCCTGCTTGTGTGGAAACATTGTCCATCCATCCTTGAACTTTTCCTCTTGTTTCAGGATTTGGAATAAGATTTGCTGCATCTCGTGCTACATCCCAACCTTTCTGTACAGTTTGTATAATAGGTTGTGCTTTCTCTTTAAGTATACCTAATGTACTCAAAATCTTCCTTCCAACTCCAAATACACCTCTGGCTATTGTTCCCACTGCGGGCAAAAATCTGGATGCAACTCCTGCTAATGCGCCAAATAAACCCATTTCTTATGGGTTAAAAAATGACGAATCCAAACAAGGACCCCTATGTTTCTAAGGCAACAAAGAAAGCACTCATGATAAAAATCTTTAGTTCAACACCAAATGCTTGGTTTATGGATATCTTGGAAAACATTCCGAGGTATAGAGAAGATGGACCTCCATACTGGCTAATATTTGTCGGTCAAAACACAAGATACTGTGAAGCCATACCATTATGGTCCAAAAATATTTTAGATGTAAAAACTGCTTTGACAATATTCGTTGACAAATACCATCCAACTAAACTGACATCTGACTGTGAAAGTTCTTTCAAATCAGACGATATTAAAAACTATCTGCGTTCAAAAAATGTAAACCAATATTTCATTGTCGACCAAAACCATTCTGCTCTTGGTGTCATTGACAGTTGTATAAAAATCTTAAGAGACTTAAACCAACCACAAGGTGGTGAAGCAAATGAAATGTCATATGACGACAAATATAGACACTTCTCCATGGCAAAGATGAGACAAGTTTTAAATATTTACAATAGCCGTAAACAAAAAGGTTTGGGAAACCACTCCCCCGAAGAAATGAAAAACAACCCTGACTTAGAGAAAGACTATATATTTAATAGTTTAGTCAAAAGAGACAAACAAGAAAGAATGCCAGGCTTCAAACTTCAGAAAGGTGACAAAGTAAAAATAGAAATACCTAAACGCGACCCATATGAAAATACTATTGACTATGACAACAATGGGAACTCGACAGGTACTCGCATTCGTGTTCGTAAAAATAGAAGAAAGTATACAAGAGAATATTATGAAGTTTTAGGCAAACATGGCAAAATGTACAGACTGCAAGCAGAAGATAAAACTACTATTGTCAGACCTCGTTTCAAACTTGTTAAGGTTCAAGGTGGTATACTTTCAAAGACAGTTCCTAACAAATATAAGACAACTCCTGACGAATATGCTAAAGAAGTTGAAAATGACGACTAAGCATTTCTATACCATGCGTAAACTGTCATGTAAGGTGGCATGTAGTCTTTACTCTGTCCCGTTGTTTGCGTATAGCCTGAAACGCGATGTGTATGGCTTCCTCCTACCTCAGTGTTACTCCAGTAACAATTTATAGCAAACTTAACGTCCTCTTTAACATCATATCCTTTACCTTTTGTCATTCCTGACCAATCCCAAAATCTATGACTATGCAAACCTGCTTCAGATGTACTTAAATTTATGTAGTGACTGTGCGCAGGTAAATTTGCACCTGAAATCGTTTTACTTCCGCCTGTTTCCTTTGAAGAGTTTGCACAATACAAAAACCTGTCGACTATTTGAGTCCAAGTTCCAAAACCAAGTACTACTTCTGGTTTGGTAGAGTTCATTGACGTGTAAATAGAACCTATAGGATATAGTGTTTGAAGTATTTCTGTCTTTAACGTTTGAAGCTCTGTTTTGTCAGCTTTCTTATCATATAAATCTTGAGCAGTGAATTTAACTTTTTTTTCATCCTCCATGACATAGACATTTCTACATCTAATGTATTTCATCGTTGTTATGTCATCCTCCGATGTTAAACCTTGTGGAAAGTTAGGAGGTTTCCAATTTAATACATCCCCACCAGTTTCTTCAACCGTTCCTTCAATATTTTCTATACCAACAGTTGCGAAGAAATCGTGTGTATGTCCAACGTCACTTTTCCTGTTTAAGGTTTCTTGTAAGTTTGTAATATTTGCAATGGTATGTGTATGTCCAACGTCACTTTTCCTGTTTAAGGTTTCTTGTAAGTTTGTAATATTTGCAATGGTATGTGTATGTCCAACGTCACTTTTCCTGTTTAAGGTTTCTTGTAAGTTTGTAATATTTGCAATGGTATGTGTATGTCCAACGTCACTTTTACTGTTTAAAGGTTTCTTGTAAGTTTGTAATATTTGCAATGGTATGTGTATGTCCAACGTCACTTTTCCTGTTTAAGGTTTCTTGTAAGTTTGTAATATTTGCAATGGTATGTGTATGAGTCTTTTTAGAATATTCTTTGTCAGCTCTTGTCACTTCACTTGACATTTTATTGTCAACATATGTTTTGTCTGCTAGTTCAGGATGAGTATGTTCTTTTGTTGCATATGTTGCATCTGCTCTGTCATGTTCTTCTTGAACTTTTTCAATGACATACTCTTTGTCAGCTTTGTTGTCAACATCTGCTTTCGTTGCATATGTTGCATCTGCTCTGTCATGTTCTTCTTGAACTTTTTCAATGACATACTCTTTGTCAGCTTTGTTGCCAACATCTGCTTTCAAAAAGAAGTTCATCTATAGGTTTCTCGTTTAAAGTTCCTTTTGTTGGATTTACACAGACAGTATGGTTCTTATTGTCTTGAAACAGAAACTCGTCTGTCATTGGGGTTTAATGTCAGTTTTAAGTTTCCTTCTTTCAATGACTCAGATATCTTAGAAAGTTTGAAAAGTTTGTTGTGTTTTATTTAGAGCTTGCAAAATGAGTTGTCGGTTGTGTTGTATTTCTCATAGACGCTGTTTCTTTCGACATTTTTTATTCTAGATAAAATATGCTTTCAATAGAAAAAGAAAATTCAAGAGTTGCTACAACTAAACCATTAGATGAACTTTTTACTAACGTCGGTCAAAAGTTTGAGACAGAGACCGTAAAGCATGAAGGCTATCGTTTTGACTACCCGTTAAGATGGCTAAGAGACCCATCCGTCACAAAAGCTATTGGCTTTCGTAGAATGAAGTTTGTGTCTGTAGAAGATAAAAGTTTTCCATTTATTGTAAGGTTTCATATAGATTATATATCTGAAGGGAAACGAAAAATGTGGGAAGAAATTGAGCTAATACAAGTTGACCTTTCATCTTCTCTACAGACTGCGTTAAAAAATATAGAAGATAAAATAAATTCATGTTATGCAAAATATGCTGATGAATATGCAAATACCGAGAGCACACTTTATGTGAGAATTGTATATGACAAACAAAATTCACAAGTGTCATTTCAAATCTACGAAGACAATCCAAAGAAAGACGAACAAATATATACAGAATTCACTGCAATGTCATGGTATTATTGCAAAGAATGTTAAATCAGAAAGTCGAACTTCCTTTAGCAAATATTTACAGTCGATATGCAAGAGATGAACCATATTTATTTAAAGATGTTTTCGACCCAGCTGCTATTATTGTTCATGCTTCATTTTCTGGCGCCCAAAACTCTTTCTTATGCTTGGCAAATGACTTTTACGAAAAACCTACAAAGTTATACGAACCACCAAGTGGAAGTATTTCAGACTTTCAAGTATGGTTTACTACAGATGGAAGAAAAAGAATAATTCCATTATACCATGCGTTTTACTTAGAACTTAGTTTCATATACAACTACTATCGAACGATAAAAATATAATTTTTTAATACGGTTGAGGTGTTGGATTTGGTTGCCAACTAGACTGTGGTGCAGGTTCAGGCTGTTGTATAACAGGAGCTTGTTCTTCTGGTTCAGGGTCTTTAGGTATAATACCAACGAACTGACCTACTCTTTTACCAATATTTTTGACTCCGTTCCAAATTCCTCTTCCTACGGTTTTTATTCCATTCCATATACCTCTTCCAACATTTCGAAAGAAGTTTCCAATACTACTGAAGAAACCCATTTTACTATATGTAAAAATCTAATGTCCGCCTAGTCTCTTACGTTTCCTGTTGAGTTCCATAGCATTCTTTAACTGGAGCTCATACATTCTATTTCTCCTCTGGTAGAAAACATACTCTGGGTCAACTCCTGTGTTCGCGTCATCTGCATAAAGTTGTTTATATCCCACTTCGGGGTTTGTATAAAACTCTTTCCATCTCATATTTGCATACCATGGTGGCAAACCTAACGCAGCGTCATTTGACATGGCAGTTTGCATTTGTACATCTGTTGGCACTTGACCATAGTTTGCCATTGCAGTTTGTATTCTAAACTTCATTTGGAATATTCTCTGGGTTTGGTTGTCCAGGTTGCTGTGCATTCGCTAAGTTCTGTGCGTCCATTTAATATTAGATAAAAATATCTCTTACGAGTACATATGCTGAACATTTGCAGGCATTGGTTCATCTTCATATTCTCTATATCTTTCTGCCACGTCAAATAAGTAAATGACACAATGGAAAAAACCTAAAACAAGTAGTCCTATTTCAAACCACATTTACTTACTAGTAAAATTTCTTTGTTATGACACTTTCTCCAGTTTATAGGACCTCTCTCATATTCTATCTTATCGTATCTAAACTCATAGTCATGTATGTCCTCTAACCATCTCATGACACTTTCCAAACCACTTTTATCGGATGTAAAGTAAAAGCATGGATGGTTATGTAAAACGTCTAAAGTTTCTAAAGAGTCTCTCAAAGTCCAGTCTACTTGGTATTGAAAATCCCATGTGTTATAGAACGGCGGGTCCACTATAAAGAAAACATTTTCCTTGTCTTTATATTTTTCATACAACTCTGTCCAATGACATCTCACAAACTCTATACCCTCAATATATTTTTCTATGTTCTCTTTGAAAACATTTGTATAGTTAAGATATAAAACTTTTGACATAAGTGTTTCAATGTCATGAACTCTTATAGCACCACTATATAATAGTCTAGCAGATATACTATCCCAGTCAATATACTCTGCCTTTTTCAAAACCTCTCTGACAGTATTTTTCTTATCTAATGGTATACGTTCCATCTTACCTATAGGTATCTTTTCTTTTAACTCTTTCAATATTTTGTTTGTGTCTGGAATATGTTTGAGACGGTCCATATAGTTGTCGAAGTCATTGCATATAATCTTTGAGTCAGGAAATATTGTATGGCACAAATGAGATATATAGAAACTTCCACCGAACAAGTCTACAAATGTTAGACCATTCGGTAGTTTCTTAAGTTCTCTCAATAGAATATCTTTACATCTACTCTTATTTCCAAAGAAGGGTAACGGTGGTTTTGTAAAATTCATTTTATATACAATAAAAATGTTTTTACCCTGAAAAGTGACAGAAAAGTGACTGGGGCTAGAGGGCACGAAGTGCCTGGAAGCCCCAATACCCCCCCTTTTTCATGAACTTTCTTGTCAATTTCTTGTCAATGTTTTGTAAAGTTCTTCATCGTAAAGACTTTGTAAATGACCCAAAAATATATTTTAGGGTAGATGGTTAGATCTAACCTGTTTTCTAACCTCTTTTCTACCCTCGTGAATTTTCATGAACTTTCTTGTCTATGTTTTGTAAAGTTCTTCATCGTAAAGACTTTCTCATGAACTTTCTTGTCTATGTTTTGTAAAGTTCTTCATCGTAAAGACTTTCTCATGAACTTTCTTGTCTATGTTTTGTAAAGTTCTTCATCGTAAAGACTTTGTAAAGACTTTCTCATGAACTTTCTTGTCTATGTTTTGTAAAGTTCTTCATCGTAAAGACTTTGTTGAGAAAGTTCATGAAAATTCAAGAGGGTAGAAATGAGGTTAGAAAACAGGTTAGATCTAACCATCTACCCTAAAATATATTTTTGCCTGATTTACACTCATTGACGATGAAGTTTTGTAATGTTCTTCATCGTAAAGACTTTGTTGAGACTTCCTCATGAACTTTCTTGTCTATGTTTTGTAAAGTTCTTCATCGTAAAGACTTTCTCATGAACTTTCTTGTCTATGTTTTGTAAAGTTCTTCATCGTAAAGACTTTGTAAAGACTTTCTCATGAACTTTCTTGTCTATGTTTTGTAAAGTTCTTCATCGTAAAGACTTTGTCAAGAACTTTCTTGTCTATGTTTTGTAAAGACTTCTTCATCGTAAAGACTTTGTCAAGAACTTTCTTGTCTATGTTTTGTAAAGACTTCTTCATCGTAAAGACTTTGTCAAGAACTTTCTTGTCTATGTTTTGTAAAGACTTCTTCGTAAAGACTTTGTTGAGAGTTCATCGTAAAGACTTTGTAAAGACTTCTTCGTAAAGACTTTGTAAAGACTTCTTCGTAAAGACTTTGTAAAGACTTCTTCGTAAAGACTTTGTAAAGACTTTCTCATGAACTTTCTTGTCTATGTTTTGTAAAGTTCTTCTTCGTAAAGACTTTCATTTTATACTAAACATCAACGGGGCTAGAAGGCACGAAGTGCCTGGAAGCCCCACTACCTTTTTTTTTTTTTTTTTTTTTTTTTTTTTTTTTACTTATTTTTTTTTATTTTTTTCATTTTAATTATCAATTTTTTCATAATACGTTTATTTACGTTACCATTTTCTTTATTCTTTTGAATTCCATACTACACACTTATAGAATATTTTGATTGTTAACGTACTTCATTAGAATGAATCCTTACAAAGGGTATGTCGATCGAATTTACCTAATTGGTATTTCCAATCAGATTGAAAAAGGTAAAATGACATGGGAAGAAGCTTGCACCCATGTTCCCATCGCCCCAACCCTTCAATCAAATGATTTCAAATATTTAGATGTTTCAAAATCTTTTTTACAAAATCAATTTAGCT